TGCGTGTCAAAGGTTGCTGATCACTGGTTTAGATGTTCACCTAGAGTGGCCTGAATTTGTCAGGCATGTCACTGCAAGATTACACCACAGCATACTCCAGGAGCCTGTCCCAGATCGGAGGATGGCCAGGACACTAGTTCCCAAGCAGGTGGGGGGGGGGGGCGCGGGGGGGATAAAATAAAAATCAAGCATGGGTGGCCAATTTAGAGACAATTAGTAAGAACTAGCTCTGATTGCTAGCAAGCCAGGAAGTCTCACTGAGGCTTGTCATTTTACTGAGGGCAGGCAATGGCAGAGATTGATCCAAAAAGCTTTTTAATAGGCTCTCCACAAGCCACTTGCATGTAGCATAAAAAACAAAAAAGTTATAGCACTTGTCACTTTGGCAAAGATATCAGAAGGCATTTAGATTAATAGGAGCACTTGCCAAGTTTTGGCTCAAAAGGCAGGCCTATTCTCCACTCAGCCATGAGCACAATGCCACTGCAGTTCAGTGGAGAATCAGGCCCAGGGAGTTTCACTTACCACAGTGAGCACACACTAGGTTACGCCTAGTAAGTGGAGAGCAGCACCACTGGTAACAGACCATTCCCACTCAAGACCATTAGGCGCTGGTTCAGGACTAAGAGAAAGAGACCCCTATGTCACTACAACACGGGCAATGACTGCATGCCTTGACACTGGTGAAGGACTAAGCTGCTTCTGTTGGTTGGTAGTAGTACAGATCAGGATCTTACACATGCTGTGGAGCAGTTACCTGCTGCTCCTTGCTGTCTGGGGCAGGAGCAGTTGTTTGGCTCTCATCAGACATCTCCTAGTTAGATGCAACTGAAAGGCAACAATCCAACAGTTAAATCAGGACTTCTCCTACAAGTTAGCGTCCAACAGAGTGAGTACAACCCAAGAACTGCAACATGCCTTGAAGGCAATAGGGTGCTGTGAAGAAGGGAGTCTGCAGGGCAGCCCCACTCTGTAAGCAGAGGGATGATCCAGGCACTCAGAGGGAAGGCAGCCAAGTAGTGCTAGAGTCTGCAACCTGCTCAGGATCACTGGGACAAGTAGCTTTTGTTCAGACTGTTTTCTAGTGTATACTCAAGGTCTCCCACCAGAGAGCACAGCCACCATCTCCGACCAAGCCACATGCTCTCAGAGCATGATTAGTACAACTGTACCTTCAATCCACTGCCTCTCCCCCCCCCCCAACCCCCCCTCCCAAAAAAACCCCAACACACACAAAGTGTTCTAGAGGCACCAAGATCCAGCTTTGTTCAGCAAAGTTCTCCTTCATCCCAAAGGATCACAGATTTCCCTTGAGACCTGGGAAGCTGGCCCAGCTCTGGGGAAAGCAAAGCCCAGCCAGGCCTACTCACACGTTGCAGGCAGGATCAGGAGAGTTAGCCTGCACATCTCACTACTGCAGCTGAAAGCAGCCTCATGGGGAGGCCCAGGCTTTACAGGGCCCAGCTCATGCTGAAGGGCCCATGCACCACTGTCCCTCCCTGCCCCAGGGTCTGCTGCTCTTGGTGATGGTCTCCCCTCCATTGCAATTTTAAGCCTTCCCCTCCCACTCCTGATCCCATCTGCCCTTACGGGATCTAGCTGGCGCAAGCTGACTGGCAGCTCAAGGCTCCTGGCACCCTGTGCTGGGGTTTGAGGCCTGGTGCGATGCCGTCACCACAGCACACCTTCACCAACAGTCCCCCCCTGCTGGTGCCCACAGCACCAAGCTGCACATTCAGCAAGTCACAGCTTGTTTCCCAGGACACAGGCCCCAGCTATTTCTCTAAAGCCCCCCTCCAAAGTGTTGCCTTGTGATCAACGAGCATATCTACCCCTCAGGCAAAGCCACATAACCCTGGGGAGGGGGGCAAGGGGGAAGAAGAGGGGGAAAAAGTTATGCAGCTGCCCTGCCCCCATTTGTTCCATGGGAACCATGGCTAGAGCTTAGCAAGCCTGTGGCAAGCTCACCCCCCACTGCCCATTTCTGTAGGGGGTCCCAGAGTCTGGGCAGCTTAAGCAACTCTCAAAAAGTCTTATTTTAAAATTTAAAATGAGTCAGTCCCCTTGTGTCATCACATGGGCTCAGGTTTCATTTACATGGCATATTCCCTCCTCTCACCCCAAGTTTGATTTTCAGTACAATGCTTCATTAGCCAAAACAATGAACCTAGAAAGGGGGCATTATTGACAAAGGCTAGATGTTTTGGTAAGTGGCAAGGTAGGAGCAACAGGCTGGGGATATGGGAAAAATCATTTCCCTGATATTCAGAAGGGGAAAGAACCTGAATACTGCTAACTAGACACCCAATTGACAGCAGCACATCCAATTACACTTGTTTCTGGATGTCCACAGATGTCACTAGTTTGCACAGAAGGTTTTCTTCACAGACATGAGAACCAGACGACATGTAAGTTTTCAGATTAAAGTTTCAATTCTGGAACACAGTCCATGTGCTGGTAAATCCCATGGTAACATATGGCCCTTCCTATACCACACAAGCAGGCAGCATTTGGGGTTTTTGGTGGGATTCTTCATTGGGGGGGGGGGGGGAGAGAAGAACACCACCGAGCTTCTCCCTCTCGGCATATGTTCAGTCAGGTCACAGGACCTAAGCTTGCCTCTCTATTTCTCTTTTCAAATTATAGACTTCACATAAATTGAAAGGTCAAGCACTTTAGAGTCTACTCAGTTTGAGATTACCCATGACCAGCATACAGAGAACCTTCATCTTTTCCAATACAGCAGAAGAAATGCACTTTTTCCACACATCTAGGCAAGTTTTGATCACAGCTTTTCAGGGTGTTGTCACTGGTTTCTCTAGCCTCACCATACTTTATAGTTTAAAGAGATGCAGGGGCGGCTCTAGGCACCAGCAAAGCAAGTACGTGCTTGGGGCAGCCCAGTTGCAGGGGCAGCAGGGATCCAGCATGGGAGCTGG